AGGCGCCATTACCCGCATGGTACCCAAGTAAGAGCCCGCCAAAGCTTTTTACGGATAAATCCGTAACTCGAGGATCGGAGAAGCTAGAAAACTGAAATCTTAAGGGGATGTTCTACGTTGAAGTTGGTGTTAATAAGCTCAAACCCATCCCTCGGTAAGTGTGGTACCCGCGTACGAGCCCGCCAAAATTCTTTTCGGGTAAGCTCATAACTCGGGGATCTGAGATGCTAGAAAGTTGAAATCTTATTTGGATGTTCCTCGTCCAGGTTGGTGTTAATGAGCTCAAACCCATTCCCCGAGTAAGTGTGGTATCGGCGTACGGGCCTGTCAAAATTTTTTCGGTAAGTTCATAACTCGAAGATCTGAGAAGCTAGAAAGATGAAATCTTAAAGGGATGCTCCCCGTCCAAGTGGATATTAATGTGCTCCAACCCAGCCCTCGGGTGTGCGTGATACCCACGCACGGGGCCCGCCAAAGTTTTTTTGGCTAATTTGATAGCTCGGGGATTTGAAAAGCTAAAGGACTGTAATTTTAAGAGGATGTTCCCCGTTCACCTAAGTTTCATTGAGCTCAAACCCAGGCTCCGAGTACATGTGGTAACCACGTAAGGGCCCGCCAAATTTTTTCGGGTGAGTTGCTAACTCAGGAGCCTGGAAAGGTAGAAAGCTGAAATTTTAAGGGGGTTTTTCCTAACAGTTCTGGCGGCCAATCTTAATTTGTTCAGCTAGAAGCATTTGCCGAAAAAATTGGCGCCGGTAGCGACAAAAACTGCGGGGAGATATGCAAAAGACGCATCTTCGCATGGGCAGTCCGTGTGTTGGCCAATTATTTAGGTTGGACTCGAATTCTTTTGCATCTCTTAGTTCCAATGCTAAGTATCAACTCAATTGTTATCGAGTATCTGTTGAACTAGGACAGTTTTTTTTTGCCAGTGTTCAAATGTTTCCATTGGCATGGTACTCTTGTTTTGGTAACCGAACAGTCCTCTCTCTCTCTCTCTCTTCTGGAATATGTTATTTTTAGATAGCAGGTATCAGGCCGCGGAGCAGTAGTGAGACGTGGAGTCGTG